AATATATATAATATATATAATATATATAATGTTTATTTATATAACATTTTTTTCCGGATAAAAACACAATAATGACATGTTAATTTTTGTTACATAGTGCTATGTATTTGTAAATAAAAACAAAACGAAATGCTGAAATCACTTTGAAATAATTGTAAAAGAGTAGACGAGAACTATATTCTTATCTCCACTGACAGTCAGTAAATAATTATCATAAGTGATAAAAGTCTGTTTCATGATATCTTGGTGTTTGAAATAAAATGATCAACATGTTTAACTCAAATTGGATACAGAATCCATAAAATCTTAAAACTATTTAAAATATCTATTCCAAACATGATACTGGTAACATTAGCCTTTTGATATTCTTTTTGCAATATAGCTCGTTTCTTTGTAAGAGAGAAATTATTCATATTGTTTTTTTTTTGACAAATTAATATTTAGTAATATTTAGACAAATTAATATTTATTATTTATTAAATCAATATTTTCTTTTCTTTTTTCTTGAAAGTGCCTAAAGCGTTCTGCTCCTCACTGCAACATACAGTATTAGTTTTGTTACGTCAGAAGCCAAAGATCATGCAAATTTATTCTTTCACTATACTACGCATCGCAATAAGTTAATCTTTATTCATATCACAACTTATTCTGAATAATATAAATTGAAATAATTCTACGGACATAGAAAATTTTTTCAAGTCATTAATTAAATAGCTTTTAAGTTTGTTCAAACTTGAAGATTATTATTCCAGGGATTTATTTTCGTTAGAAATAAATTATAAATTGATTTTTTAATAAATTGACATCTCAGAATTAATTACATCTCAGAATAAATAGATGTTTTTTTAAATAAATGTGTTTCGTATTTATGCTGAATAGCATAAATAAAGTACTCTGAGAGTAAAATATATACTCTAAGAACATTTTTCGATTCGTGAGTTAATCAAATGGTTTTGAAATTTAATCGATTACGGTTATTATAATGTTTCTTTATCGGGAATTACAATACATATATGTGTGTGTGTGCGCGCGCGCGCGCGCGCGCGCGCGCGTGTGTGTGCGTGCGTGCGTGCGTGCGTGCGTGTGTGTGTGTGTGTGTGTGTGTGTGTATATTTATCGTCTTTAATGCAGAACAATTTTAAACAAAGAAAAATTCTCAGTATATATTTCATTTATATATGTGCGTGCGTGCGTGCATACATGCGTGTTATTGAAGATAAAAATAATTATAAAAAGCTTGATATTAGTTCATCTTCGAAAAATAAAAAAGAAATCTGAATACTTATAAATTTATGGAGATTTCTTCGCCAAGATAAAATATTTATTAAGAAATGATATAGTTTAATTATATGAATAATTTGTTTTTTTTTCTTTTAAATTAATAGGAGAGTGGGAAAATTCCGAACTTATGTTTTTTTTTTTCCAGAAATTAGTAGGAGAGAGTGAGGGGAATTGCGAACACGGGGTGAACTCGAACGATGCTATTACAGTATATTGCGGTATATTAGAGTAGTGATAACCTCTCACTTCTAGCATCTAACGATAGTCCGATATATTCTCAGTATCGCACTATAATACGTGTGACCATATAATACTATTTAAGGTAAATATCATTTCATATTATTTTAGATGTTTTTAATGTGGAAAAGAGTAAGGGAATTGCGAATTTCTAAGGGAAAAGTTAAATAAACTAGAAAACAGAACCCGATTTAACATTGCTTCCGCTTGCAGCGGGTAATAATTACGAACGTATATAAAGGCAAACATATATATAAAGATTTTGTTCTTTATTTAACATTATTTATATTGATATATTGTATTGATATATTAATATTGATATATTAATTTTATATAGTTATATTAATGTTAATTATTATAATTGAAAGTCAAATAATTGGAGTCTCTCTTTTGAATAAAGATTTCTATATATAATAATTGATAAATATAATCGCGTGTGTATTTGACTTTAATTTAACTTTTCCCTTATAAATTTGCAGTTTTTTTTACTCTCTTTTTTAGTTAATTATTAATATTGTTTGAAACGTGATCGTTTGATATTTGATATTTGATCATCATAATCATAGAAAGGTTCTATTACAAAGTTATATCTAACAATAAGTAAACATTTTTTTTGTCTGATATCTTTTGAAGGATAAGTATACTGACATCGTTTTTGAGAAATTGCAGATATAAATTTGAAAATTATATATCTTTCAAATTTATAATTCAAACAATTCGGTCAATTGTTCATCCAAACTTTTTATAAGAATCCCAAATTGTATTAAAAAATTAATTTCACACGTTAGGAGTCTACCTAAAAATGAAACTGCTTGGGACTGCTTTTTAAATAATCATGAAGACATATATTATATAATATTGAAGGTCAAAAAAATAAATATGTGCCTTGCATCCAAGATATTACAGATATAGTCGTTTAAAGAAGTTTTTCTTTTTGTTACTTGTAACTAACTGAAATTACAAAATATACAAATTTTTTAAAGACATGAATTTTTTAGGATGTTTTTTAGGATGTAGATAAAAAAGTTAATTTTTTATTTTAAAAAAATTTTATTTTTAAAAATTATATCTACTTTTAAAAATCTAAAAAAAATTTTTATTAATTCTCACAAAACTCTAACATATGTAAAATGTGATATTATAAAGGAAATTTTGAGATTGTAGAAGGATCCACTTGTAAATGAATATTTTTTTCAAAACAAAATTGAAATTTCAGCAAAATCATAATAAAATAAATAGATTTTTTAAAGATATTTCCTTTTATATATAATTTTACAATATATTACTGCTTAATTAGCTAGCGATCGTAAATATTTCCTATTTTTAAATTTTCATTTACATTTTTTTTCATTTGTTTTATAAAAAAAATGGAACTTTTTTACAACCGCTAATAAATAATCAATCAATAATACATTAAATTATTATATGTAAATAGAAGTATCTTAAAAATTTGTTTATTTTATAATGATTTGTTTAAAATTCCAATTTCTTTCTCATTTTTGAAAAAATATTTGTTTACGAATGAATCTCAAATCTCCTGCGATCCTAAAATCTCTTTTATTGTATCATATTCTACATATATTAGTATTTTTAAGAATTTTTTCAGACTTTTAAAGAGGATACGATTTCTCTTTTTTAAGTGACACGTGGAATGCGCCATGTAATTTCAGACAGCACATATGCATCAACATCGGATATAAGACGTCTTATATGTCCGTTTCTACATATATCATCATCAATGTAGTTTACTTTTAATCTTGCTCCAATTAACTCTTTATCTTTTTCTAGATCTAAGAATTAGAAAACGATAAAGAATAAGTTGAACCGAGATTAAAATTACTTATATAATCTATAGTGACAGAAACGAGCATTAAAGATGTTATTAAGACATTTTAGATATCATGTTTAAAAGTTATAAGTATTTTCGAAATGTCCTGTAACTCTTTAAAATAATGCAATAACTCACATTAATAAATGCATATGATGCATAGGTTTAACCGCAACTTCGTGTGTCATAAGGATATGCATTGCTATAAAAGCATTCGTTTGCGACGCATTAACAGTCTAGTGCGGGAATTTATTTTATCAACTGTCATTATTCACTGCAATTAGTAAAAACAGGTATGTTGATTTTTCTATTATTATTCTATATAGCTAAGTTTGCTAACATAATTTGTCATATCAGATACTAACAGTAAAAATTGTATGTGTATAAGATATGCTGTGAAACTTTTTAATAAATTGGAGTATTGTGCCTTTTAATTTATTTATTAATAATTTCAGAAATAAATGTATATAAGAGAGAAATTTAAACAAATATATAAAATGAGACTGGAAAGAATCTATCAGTGAAAAATGTAAAAAAGCCCATCAGAGTCTACATCAGCTGTTCGGATGCACAGACAATTGTATATGTTACAATTAATATTTTATAATTATATCTTAATAATAATTTTTATATTTTATATTGATAAGGAATTGAAGGGACGTATATTTTAATCGTTTTGTTACATTCACACGAAAATAAAAAATTTTCTGGGCATCTGAACAGCTGACGTAGGCTTTGACTTTTTTATATTTTTTATTGAGAGAAATTTAATTTTTATTTCATGTTCCAAGTCAGTAAACAATTCTCCATTGAGAAAATTGCCCGGTTTTCAAGTAATTAATTTAATATCTGAATTCTCTATTGAAATTGTGTGGTAGAAATTAAGTGGTAGAAAAAAATACTACATTTAGTGCTCGATTTCTCTCGTATTTTTGTCGTCATGCAGTGCAAGTAGATAAACTCGATTTCTAACGACATTTTGTCAGTATAATATGACATGTTATGTCCAAACTTCGAGAATTTTATTATTTATTCTCATTAATGGCGTTTTGCAGTCTTTAAATTTGCCTATGAGAATACAAGACAGATCGTATAGCGACATCGTATGATGAAAAAATTATCAAAATACCAAATATTATGTTAGATATATTATAATCTGATATAATATATCTAACATAATATTTGGTATGTTTCTGTCATTATTTTATGACAGATCATGTGTTTTGCTGTATTTTTATTATTACTTTTTGAAATTGTAGCGTGTGTGCTCGATTTCTCCCGTATTTTTGTCGTCATGCAGTGCAAGTAGATAAACTCGACTTTCTAACGACATTTTATCAGTATAATATGATATCATGTTATGTTCAGTGTTATGTCCAAACGAGAATTTTATTTACGTTTATTTGGCAAGAGAAAGGATTAAAAAGGAGGGGATATGCAAGGACGCGGATTAGATAACTTTATTTCACGGATATACATATAAGCGCAGAGGCGCAATTTGCAAGTCAAACGCATGGTTCCGAAATATGGCTCATGTTCTGCTCGTATAGAAAGTAACTATTGAGAAACATAGTTATTCATAAATCATCGTAAGTAGTTTATATTATTGGTGCGAAAATTTCTGGGAAAAATTACAAGTTACTATTCGCTTCAATAGTAAACTATTTATAATTCTAAGCATTTACCATTCATTATTATTAGAATCGTGAGTAGAGTTTACTATTATATAAATAATAATTATAAATAGTAACTATTTCATAGCGATTTTCATGAGAATCTTAATGTTGATTTAATTTGATTATATCAATTAGATTTTCAAAAATCTATTAGTATTTTGCGAAATAAAATGTTTCATTTTTACAATAATAAATTTAAATATAAATATATAAATTGAAATTTGGAGAATATTACATGCAACGCGAGTGTATGTATCGTTTGTGTGAAATATTTTCAAATATGAAAAAATGTCGATACGGACTTATAATATTATCACATAATTAGTTAGTACAGTAATAATATATTATCTGCTAATAATTATTATCCAATTATTATTCAGTCATGTTGTCAACAGTTACATTGAAGTTATATAATTATAGAAATTAAGTAATAACGATAGAAAAAGCCTGAAATATTTCACAGAATGTCCAAAAATACACACAAAATATTATCCCCAAAATTGCCTTTAAATCCGTAAAATGTATCCTCGGAAATAATAGAAATTGATCGAAAAATATACATTCTCGAATTTCTCCGAAATTATTTTCTAATGAATTCCTACAAAAATTTTTTTTTGATGTTAATATTTTTTGATGTTAATATAATTCTGATAAATTTTCGAATTAATTTAAACAAAATTTCGGACAAATTCTGATAAGTTTTCGAACAAATTTTGACAAGTTATTTTGGGGAGCGCTATGGTGAGAAAAGAAGATAATCAGAAAGATCACATTGCGAATGAAAAAAGATAATATATTAAAATGTTTGTTAACAATATAAAAAAAGATGATTCTAAATTTAACAGAACAGTATATAAAGAAAAGGATAAGAAATTATAATAACGAATGCTACAGGATATTCGAAATTAAACGAAAAATATTTTCAGCTAAATATAAATTATAACAATACTGAAAAAAATTTATGTGTAATTTTACATGGAAATTACATGTTTATAATTGGAAAATTATCTAAATATGATTACAATAATTGTAAATTTCCAATCCTATTTAGGTAATTTTCCAGTCATAAACATGTAATTTCCATAAAATTGCATGAATTTTTTTCAATGAACACTTATATCCTGAAAAACTCTATTTGTATTTCTAATGTACGGTATATTCCAGAATAACAAAAGAATTTTCATAGAATATTCAAATATTATAATGAAAGAACATATTTAAAATTAATAAACACATGGTCAGATCATTATGTGAATTCTTATATGTATCACGAAAATCATTCGAGTAGTACGCATCCCTCGTATTAACTTGTAAACAAGAATCATAGGAAAGAATAAAGAGTGCTTAAAGTGAGCGCCTAAAATTAAATTCCAGGTGAAAGTAAATAAAATGTGTTTTTGATAGTACAGTTTCGTTTAAAAATTAAGGGACATACGGATCTGGAACTTCTGGAAAAATTATAATTTAGCAGGATATAAGGGTGGTCCATTTTAATTCATCTAGTAGAATATCTCAAAATCCTTAAGTTTAAGACATAAATATTTCAGATAAAATTATTCAATTACGTTGTTCAGTAGGGGAAAAAGATGGTGACCTTGGTTAACCTTGAGAAAGTGTAATTATGTAATTAATTTTTTTTTACATTTCTTCAAACTTGATTTTTTTAAAATAAATAATGAAAATTACTCTTTTAATTATTTTTGATGTTTTCACACTACTATTGTTATTTCTATTACTAAAAAGTAATTTTACAAAAAAAAAGAGGAACGTATGGATATATTTCATATATGATTGTACATGTTTATGAATATGTATATTTATACATATTCATGCATGACAAATTTTTTACCGAGAACAATAATAGAACAATAATAGAACAATAATAAATAAATTAATTGGTAAAAAAAGACATAGTTGCTACAAATTGCATATTATTTGAAAAGTAACTACGTATTTTTTTTCAATTAAATCAATTTATTATTGTGCATATAAGTATTAAAGTAGATTATAAATTGAAAAAAAGAATTAAATTTTATCAATCTTTAAGATGGAATCACAATGCTCGATTTCTTGAATGATAAGCATGCACGCATGGATGCACACATGCATGCTATATGTTTGCTTTCATGCATATAGTCTGTTTGGCAAATAATTATGAAATTAGCAATTATTTTTTTTGATTTAGTGCATGCAAGGAAATAAACTATGAAGTAATCCATAATAAATATAAAAATCATATATATGCAGCATGTAACGCTCATTGCATGAATGAATTCTAGCATACATCAGAGCATCAGAAATGATAGTATGCATGCTGTTATTAAAAAAAATCGAGCATAGTTCCATCTTAGTTGCAGATTACAATATATTGTAAGAAATCTGCTTTCTTTCTTACATAATTTTTAAACTTTTTTTACGTCTTTAGGTTTTGTATTAATTACATTTTGCGATAATTCTCTGAGTGATAAAAAGATATTGGGTTGTCCGGAAAGTTCGTGCCGAATTTTGAAGGAAAATTAAAACGCAGAAGATTTAAATTTTTAATTTCATTTATTAAATTTAAATCTTTTGCGGCACGAATTTTCCGGACAACCCAATAGATCGTCGAATGATAAAAAGATAGACCAAGGAATTTCAATTTCGGGCCTCTTTCCGGAAAAATGAATTTTTCAAGATTATATGAAAATTATTTTCATTTTTTAATTGAATTATGTGTTTTTAAAAATATTATATGATGTTCTAATATTCTGCTATATAATCTATAAAAGTGTTAAAATAATATTATAGAAAAATCAATAGTTTCCAATATTTATTTTATATTATTATTTTATATTCTAGCACATTTATATACTAGCATATATTAATGTGAAGTTGTTATTATACCTTAACATTTTTATACACAGAATAATAAGATGAAGCAATTTCAAAATTAAATTTTCATATAAATGTTTTTTTTGTCTGTGAGGAGAAAGAGAGGCAAAAGAAAGATTTTTTATAATATGCTGCAATGTGTAGCTAAAAGATTGATACAATAATATAATTTTTCTTTTATACGCACAATAAGAGAAGATGAATAAATTGGTCTAAAGACATAGTTGCATTTCAAAAGTATTTCATTTTACTTGCACTTCAAAAGTATTTCAATGTTACTTCTTTAATTTTTGATGGTAAAACTCGAGTTGAATAAAATGAGGCAAATTTGTGACACAATAATGTTTTGAAATTGAATTAAATTAAATAACTACTATTACTAACTATTTGGATTGGAACAGAAAGTCTTGATTGGTCTTGATGGAATGTGATATAATTTCTTTTAAGAAAAATATTGGGAGTACAAATTCAGTCCGTTTCCCTAAAGATGGCTCCAGCTGTTGTGGTTCACAGCTGATTTTGGCGGTTTCAGAGAGGTTAAACATCTGCTAATAATATTCAGTTTATATCGCTACAAAAACCTTGATTTTTACTGTGTTTGGAATGTCGAATTTTGTGTTAATCAAGCAGCATTTGCGAGAGGTTTTGATTTTCTGCTTTAATTGGAAGAAAAGTGCGGCTGAAGCTCATCGAATGCTTGTCAAAGTTTATGATAACACTGCTCCAACTGATAAATCATGTAAGGAATGGTTTCGACGTTTCAAGAATGGAGATTTCAGCGTTGAAGACAAGCCTCGCTCTGGACAGCCAAAGAAATTCGAAGACAAAGAATTAGAGGCATTACTCGAAGAAGATCAAAGTCAAACGCAAGAGAAGCTTGCAGAATCATTGGGGTAACTCAACAAGCCATTTCTGTATGATTGAGAGCCATGGGAATGATTCAAAAACAAGGAAATCGGGTGCCTTATGAACTGAAACCGAGAGACGTTGAAAGGCGATTTTTCACTTGCGAACAGCTGATTTAAAGACAACAGAGAAAAGGTTTTTTGCATCGGATTGACTGAAGATGAGAAGTAGATATTCTACGACAATCCCAAGAAGAAAAAATACTACGCTAAGCTCGATCAATCGTTGTCGATCTCAACATCAACAACATTCATGGTTCGAAAATCATGCTCTGTATCTGGTGAGACCAAAAGGGTCTTGTTTATTATGAACTGCTGAAACCTGGCGATTACATTACGGGCGATCAGTATCGGCAACAATTGATTCGTTTGAGCCGTGCATTGCGAGAAAAACGGCTGGAATACGAGCAAAGACATGATAAAATTATTCTTCTTCATGACAACGCTCGGCCTCATGTCGCTAAAATCGTAAAAAATATTTGGAAACGCTCAAATGGAATGTTTTACCACACCCGCTGTATTCTCCGGACATTGCTCTTTCTGATTACTGGTTGTTCCGAAGGATGCAGCACGATTTGTCAAGTCACCGGTTCACTTCTTTCGCAGAAATTGAAAATTGGCTCCAAAATTGGATCGCCTCCAAAGACGAGTCATTTTTTCGAGATGGAATTCGAAAATTACCTGAGAGATGGGAAAAAATAGTAGGCAGCGATGGACAATACTTTAATTGATCTGTTCATTCATTTTGTTTTGAAATAAATGCATTTTTTTATACAAAAAAACGGACCGAACTAATTTGTACTCCCAATAGGAAGATCATTTAATAAGAACACGACGATATATATATATATATATTTAGATTTTAATGGTATAAAATTAAATCTGTTACTTACGTTACATTCTTTAATTTAGTATGGGATTTTAATTTGGTAGTTCTTGATATCAAATTTTTATATGAATAATATATAAAGTTTTATGAAATTTAACTTGATGCCAATTGTTGGCTACAACTTGATTTAAATAAAGTAAATTTTGTGATATAATAATTTTTGAAAGAAAATTAAAGCTATTATTTGAGTTGGAATAGAAAACCTTTCAATGAGAATACAAAAATATAACATATTTTGTTATATATAAATTAATAAAGATACTACTTTTTTCGAAGAACGCGTACTTTTAATGCCTTTTTTTACTTTTTTTAAAAAAGTAAGTTTGATTAGTTATCGACACATCTAGACTTTTTTTTCATGTAGTCTTTCAACCGTCTGTGAATGATGCATATTATATTGTTTTGTAGGTAATTCGAATCTCCACGGGGAAAGTACAACTAATTCGACATACCTATGCAATTTGAAGCACTTCTACGACGTTGTTCTATGCTCTCTGAAGAAGGTTTAAAATGAGCCGTATCATGTAAGCACGCGAAATCTCGAATGTATTAAATTAGCTTTTTAATTTATTATTATTTTATTTTTGCGCACTAATTTCCGCGGCCGACTCTTATTGCCCTCTATCCTATTATTTTTATTGTTAGGGAGTCTTTATTATCTATATTATTATCTATAGAGACAATCATTTTCACTCACAAACACATTAAAATCTCCATTAATAAAGATTTTGAATTTTAATACAATATATAATAAATACAATAATTCACATCAGATATCTTGGAATTATTCTTCATTTTTTGATAAAGTCTGGCAATCTTCAATGGTCTCAATAAATTACATGTTTTGCTGAGATCTGTACATCTTTTTATCAATTCTAAAAGTTCTCTATCTCTAAATAATTCTTTTATATAATATATGTGCCAGATCGGCTTTATGCTGTCCCCGTCTGGACGGCAGGAATATGTGACATATTGACGGAGTGCAGAGACAAATTTCGAAAAATATTCATAATAATCGCAGGAGCATATTTAATCTGCATTTAAAATCAAATATGGAATATGTCAATGTTGTGATTGTGTACTATACTAATTTCTCGTGCACATAATGACAAACACATTAATCCGTTTATCCATAATAAGGCCAATAATATTATAAAAGACATTTCGCTTAGATTAAAGTGCCGTCTCCTCAAATTTTATTAGATATTATCTTCATATAGAACAAGCAGATGAATAATCACACATTAATTGCTGATCCCGATGATATATTCTCGCATGCGTTATTATCGGAGTGAGTTATTATGATCTCTTATGGCGGGTGGATTGCTTTGTGTTTGGCCTTCTGCATGAAATTTAAATTATTACATTTTTATATTGATTATTAAATAATTATCTATCTTTTCACATCTAGATTGGATTTCTCTCTATATAGTTGCATGTGCTTTCGCATACATTGTCTTAGAATTTGTTAACTTTTATTATTCTTTATTATTCTTTATTATTATTATTCTTTTATTATTCTTTATTTATTCTTTATTTATTATTCTTTAATCTAATTATTGGATTTTCGCTTGTTATTTTTCTCTCATTACTTATCTGATCTCTATTTGGATTGATATGCATTTATGGAGCTGTAATCAAGATTATAAGGGTTTTTTTAAGTTTTTCCTTATCTTTACACCCTAGATTTTTAATTATCTTTATCTAATCTATTTTAGTCTTGATGGTATAAGCATTACGCAGATTATGAGTTGTGTTCCTAGGTACTGCAGTTCCAAATTTTAACTGATCCAAAGAAAGAAAAACTAAACCGCATGGAAAGCATATGCATGGATGCAGTGGATTCTGGGCGACGCGGGGAGCGACGGCGCCACGGCGATGGAGGATGAGGTGCAATAAAAGCTAGCTACGATTGATGCGATCTCAGAATTTTAATCTGAGCTCTAGAAGATCACTTTGCTTCTGCTTGCTTTAAAAAAGGTAAAGAAAAGCATTTCACATATTCTATGTATAATATAAAAATGATAATCATCAAGATAAGGACTGTTATTTTAGATAGAAAAAGAAGAAAATCATAATGCAGATGTATCTTTTCTTACTGGACTCATAATCTGTTAAATTTTATTACTTGATCTATAGTATTGTAGTAAAATTAACAATGTACAGACTTTATCAGACAATTATTATTAGTCGTACATGATGGCCATGTTCATATATTAGTGTTAGTTGTCAGTCCAGTATACGTAACGGGAAACTATAGACTTTCAGTATTGGCAGTCAATAAAACTGGCAGTAATAAAAAGGCACAATAACGCAATCGAGGGAATCGAGAACAATAAAACTCGAAGTCTCGAACAATAAAAATCTCAGTTTTAAGTACATCTACAGAATTGATCTGTTCAAATATAACAGTTCTTTGATCAAAAAGAGTTTCTGCTCTATATAAGGAATTTTGCAATTCTTTTTACATTTACAGTCAATAGACATGAAGCATGGACAAATGTAGGAAGTTAGAAGTTTATTACAATTACAGTGATTTAACAATTTACATTTATATGCAGAAATATCAAAAAGTTTCGCTTAATCACTTAATGTGTATTTCTTCGATCTTGAATATTTCGATCTTGAATATTTCAAGATCCTTCTTGAACTCAGATTTTTCTTTATCACTGTTGTAATAAGACTTTCGTTTATGCCAATACTTATTATAATATGAAGAAATCATTTGTACAACTCTGGTGTATTATCGGAATAGATGCTGTCAAATACAACAATTCAATTTTCTTAGCCATCGCACTATTGCTGAGAAAGTAATCTTCTGTGGAGGCAATTCGGAAGATAATCTACCTTTGTTCAAAACAACAGCGAATAACATAAGATGGAAGATTTATATTGGATTGTCCGGAAAATTCGTGTCGACTAACCTATATAAGTTAATAAATGTATACTAAAATTTAAATCTTCTGCGTTTCAATTTTCCTTCAACATCGGTACGAACTTTCCGGATAACCCAATAGAACTTTAAAAGAGTCAAAAGTCAAAAAATCTTTAGTCAAAAGTCAAATATGGAACAAGTGTGATTTTTTCGAGAAATATCCAAGTAGAACAACAAGTCATTATAATATCAAAAATATGTCAAAATTCTAAAATGATCATTAAAAATCATTTTTTAATCATTTCCGATTAGGAAATTTGACGTTATCGTGACTTATGATTGGTTAGGTTGATTATATTCGGAATTTTCTTGTTTTCCCATCCATAATAAAGAAAAAAAAATAAAAGCAACAAAAAACAAAGGAAGCCAATGTATATGACATACAAATGTCAAGCATCGAGCATCTCTGCAGAACATTATTGCGCAGAAGTTTGAATCTCTAGATTCCTGCGCAATAATCTTCTGCACAACTTCTTGAAAATGGTAAATTATGAGAAGTTATGTTCTGATAGACACTACTATCCTAACATATAATGCTGAAAATTATATTTATTTACATTATATAGTGTAAATAAGATTCCACTATTAATGTATCTTATACATTAAATTCAATTTCAGTAAAATTATTAAATATATTACTACTCATGCTCTGACATTCGACACTTGACTCTGCCATGTAAAAGTACCTTAACGCATTATCTTTGTTGGAATCGCCAATAAATGCCTTTATAGTTCTCTGACCGATGCGTACACGCGGAACAACGACAAGTAAGAACTAGAATACTTATAATTAATAAAAGTATGGCTACCGTCAGTAGCGGTCATATATGAATGAAATAGGGATACTATAAGGTCTTTCAATAAGGACGCTCGATTTTTAAATGTAAATAAAACAAGTTGTGTATGAGATATCCACTCAATTTTTTTTTATTTGAAAGAATATTTTATGGCATTAAGTATGGAATATAATCGCTCAAATGTCCGCCGCGGCAGTGATCGCTTGGTAACACGTATTCGGGCGGTCCAATTTTCGATGACTTTCTCGCATAAATCTGGCTGAATATGCTGGATGGCTTTTGTTATGTTGACTTTGAGAGCATCAATTGTTTGCGGTTTATTCGTATAGACCTGTGATTTAAAATAATCCCAAAGGAAGAAGTCTAAAGGCGTTAAATCGCACGATGGCCAGTTCACGTCGCCGCTGCGCGAGATAGCCCTCAAATCGCTCGTACAGAATGTCCATCGTGGCATGCAGTATGGCATGTAGCGCTATCCTATTAGAACCACATGTTATCGGTATCCATTTTAGGCCACAAGAAGTTGCTTATCATCGATCTGTAGTGCTCGCCGTTGACGGTTATGGCAACGCCAGCTTCGTTTTGGAAGAAGTACGGACCGATGATTCCGCCAGACCAAAATCCGCACCAAACAGTGACTTTCTCGGGATGCATTTAGAACTGGTGTATCTTGCGTGGATTGGTATCGTCCCAAATTCGACAATTTTGCTTGTTCATATATTCATTCATCTAAAAATGGGCCTCATCGCTAAAAATGATTTGTTTGGCGAAATTTGGGTTAACTTCCAACCTCCAGAACCCAATCAGCGAACACACAGCGTTGTCTATGGTCGTTTACTTTAATTTCCTGGGTCAATTGAATTTTGTAGGTATGCAGATCCAAGTCCCGACGCAAAATTCGCCAAATTGAAGTCGCAGAAAGGCCAAGTTCTTGTGAACGACGAGAAATTGATCGCCTCGGGTTTTCCCGTACACTCTCACGCACAGCAGCGATGTTTTCAGCAGACCTTGCGTTTCGGCAACGTAATGGTGTTGGCTGATTATTTATCGAACCGGTTGACTCGGCCACCAAACGTCGAATAGTTGAATCGGCAAAACGGTTGTGGCGGAAGAATAAAAATCACGTAATGCGCGGAACGTTTCTCGAACGGAGCACTGATTTTGATAATAAAATTTTATGATTTGCACACGTTGCTCAACACTATGACCTTCCATGGTGATTTGCCATACATTACTAAACAATTCACAACAAATTTGACAAATGTCATTTTAACAACATGGCTACTATGATTTAACAAATTTCGAGCATCCCTATTGAAAGACCCTATATAATCAGATTTTGACGAATGTGAACAAAAATAGCAGATAAAAAGAGATAATAGATATTTCTTTCTCGTATGAACGCATGTGCAGAAAGTGTTAGAATTTGTGACGGCAATACCTGAAGAAACTCAATCGAGTTGATCAATTGAATGAATGTTCAATTGAAATTTGTTAATTTTCTCTTTGTCCGAGATTTCGAAGCAATTTCTAATCTTTTTGATACTAAGGCTTATATTTACTCTATTTATAGCTACCCGAAAAAAAATGTTTTATATATAATTACATATAATTATCCAAACAGAACAACAAGTTATTATGATATCAAATGATGTCAAAATGACTCTAAAATGATCATTAAAAGTCATTTTTCAATTATTTCCGATTCATTTTAATGTCATTTTGACGTTATCATGACTTGTTATTCTGTTTGGGTATGTAATTATATATAATATAAAATTAACATATTTTATATATAATTACATTACATTTATAAAATATATACATATATATATATATATTTTTTCCCAGTATCTATCTCTTCTTTTCTTTGCTCTTGTTTTCCGATAATGTATGAAGCTATCCAAAGAATACCGAGTAGACTAAAGTAAAGAACTAATTAAAAGTTGTGCCTGTTTTCGCCAAACGCTTATTATAATATCTCTTTCAAACCGGAAGTTTACAGCCATAAGGCGCAAAATGTTCAAATATTAATCTGATTTGATTCAAATATTTTTGATTTAGTTTGCTGTCATTATGCGCAAAAGAATTTATTATATTCTTATAGACACAGAAAAAAGATTATCCAACGTAGCTAAAATATAGCTGTGACAACTTTTAGCAATAACAGCAAAGTTTGAACCAGCAACTGATATTTAGCTGATATTATTAAATTCTTTTTTTGTGTGTACTCTAATCGATGTTTTCTGCTTTATTAATAATGTTTTCAATAATAGATTTAAAAACTTGACTATTCGTAGAGCCTGATGTAAATTCATATGTAACAATCTGTGTTCATCGAGTGGCAATTCCAGGAAGTAAAAAAAACAATAAGTGACTTGCGAGTTAGAGGTTTTTAATGAGTACTCATTTGTGTTTTATTCTCAGTTGCTAGGTTGTGAGTTCACTCAGATTTATATCTGTCGACATATACAATATATAATAATAAAAAAACTTATCAAATATTATCTCATCCACGATAATCTTTATCTATTAGGTGTACAACTTTGCTTCCGCCGTTTTCCTATAGATGGCTTTAGCGGTAAGTGGTGGTCGAAATAAATAAATTATAGATGTCATACAATAAACTTGGACATCTGTCAACATAACCCCATAGAAACATTAGTCGATTTGTGTCTGCATCATAAAGTTATTCTCGATTGAAAATGTCAGTTTACGAGCCAAATTCTCGTCATTTGCGGGAGGTTTTAATTTTTTGCTTCAATATGAAGAAATTTGTGTCTGAGGCTCATCGAATGCTCTCAAATACTTATGGTGAGGCCGCTATTAGTGAAATAATGTGTCGTGAATGGTTTCAACACTTCAAGAACGGTGATTTTGATGTCGAAGACCGGCATAGCGGTGGAAGAGAGAAGGTTTTTCGAAGATGCAGAATTGGAGGCATTACTTAAGCAAGACTCGTGTCAAAATCAAGAAGAATTGGCACGATCATTGGGAGTGACTCAACAAGCCATTTCAAAACGCCTCAAAGCCATGGGAATGATTCAGAAGCAAGGAAATTGGATGCCGTACGAATTGAAGCCGAGAGATGTTGAACGGCGTTTGTTTGCTTGTGAACAGCTGCTTGAAAGGCAAAGACGGAAGGGATTTCTGCATTGCATTGTGACTGGGGACGAACAATGGGTTCATTACGATAATCCCAAGCGCAAAAAATCATGGGGAGTTCCCGGCCATGCTTCCACGTCGAC